AGCACCAGCAGGTAAAAAAAGACATCTATGCAAGTAACCAGGTGGATCCCAAAATAACCACCAATCAATATATAGTACAAAAGAGTTACAGCAAAGCAAGTACACACTTGCATAGCACCAAACTGTCCCTGATTTCAATGTACTATACCTACTTTAGAACAAGGTCCCTCTTTCTTCCTCATTTTGGTCTGATGTACATACCTGTATTAAATATGCACTATTAAGGAATAGTAGTGGTAAAAAGGCACTTGTGGTTTTCAAGTATAATTTTTTGCATAGTAAGGGGAAAGGGGGTGTGTGTGTGCATGTGTGAGCGTGTTCTCGTGTGTGTGTCCTATGGATATATACTTTTGTTTATAGGTGTCCCTCTTTCCCGTCTCAGAAATTTGGGAGGTATGCACTTATAGCAGTAATACAGCAACTTCATGCAGCCCTGCCCATCCCTTCCCTTCATAGTTCCCATGGTGCATAGTGCAAGTTGGTAACTATAAATGGCAGGGGTACCTGAAGTTGCTGTATTATTCGTTACAAGTGCATATGTGCTGTGCTGTAACCCCTTTGATATATATATATATATATTTTATAGTGGGTGATCTGTCTCTCTAATCTAAGCATTGAAAGTGTGATCTCTGTAACTTACAGTTGTGATGAAATAGCGATAACTCCAATCTTAGTTGAATACCACAGTCAGTGACTCGATCCAATGACACCTCGTAGATCTTGTGAAGTTGATTCCATAAACTGAGAGAACCTTACAACAACGAACATCTGATAGGTCAAAAGATCATAATGTGATCTGCTTCATGACATGAGGCTTGAAGCTGAAATGCCTTACTGGGAAAAGGGGTGGGCTATCTATACAGCATTAACTAAACCAGAGGAAAGGGAGGAGCAGAGACAAAATACAAAGAACACTTAAAAGGCATATGACAGTCATGTGAAACATAACAGTGGGTGCATGGCTTTTTGCTCTAGCATTCAACTTTAAACTATGCATTTCATTTAACTTCATTGTTCATTTCATGCTTTAGAATTAAAGTGACGCTGCTCCGGAAAATGTTATTGATCTTTACTACATAATAGTAGTGTGTATAAAAGACTCATTTTTCAATGTGATGCAATAGAAATAATAACTATAGGAGACTGCACAGAGTTTTTCCACTCTTCTAATCACCTAGCCAGCTCGCAAATTACAATCCTCATACAGAATAACTGCGACAGTTTAATTTGTTTTTGTTAACCATGTTGCATTGCACAGTTGTGGTTGGATTTTTTCATCATAACCCGTACACCCTTTTTGTCTGTGGAATGACATTAATGGAAAACAATGTATTAAAAATACAATACAATCTCTAAGGATCGCTCATTTCCATGGTTACCAGCACTTAAGTGCACTGTGGGACATGTTCTGTACTGTATCAGTCTACTGTAGATTGTCATATTCCGCAGTGCATTCTTTACTCATTGGGTTAAACAGACATTTATTTTTCTGAATAGAAAAGGTGTGTAAACAGCTGGCTGAGGTTTACCTGACATGTAAGACTGGAGGGAGACTGCTTTATATAAAGCACTGTTCTGCAAAAGTGGTAAAAATGCAATAGAATATCAGAAGGAAAATTTTGGAAGAGAAAAGATAAAATAATATTCCATGCACTGCTATACATATACTGTATGTTTTATCCAAGAGAAATTGCTTTGCAATCACTGATCTCATGAGAATGGAAAGGGACCCACTGACATCTTTACTGTGGGATGACACCATCAAAGCAAATATCAGCAACAGTTGTGATTTTATTGATAACATAATATTCCCATATTTGCATAGGTTTCTTCTAAGTATTATGCAAACCCAAAGAGCATAGGAAGTAGGTAATTGACTTTTGATCAAAGTGCCCGAAAAGGTGTGACATTGTGTCTGTACAAGGTAAATTAGACTGTAAGTTCTCTAAGGGCCAAAAATGAAGGTTAATTAACCATTTCAATACCATGCAATTTTACACCTTCCTGCCCAGGCCATTTTTCATGTTTCAGCGCTCTCACACTTTGAATGACAATTGCATGGTCATACAACATTGTACCCAAACTAAAATTTTATCATTTTCTTCACACAACTAGAGCTTTCTTTTGGTGGTATTTAATCACCGCTGGGGTTTTTATTTTTTGCTAAATTAACAAAAAAAGACCGAAAATTTTGAAAAAAAAAAACACACATTTATCTTTGTTTCTGTTATAAAAGTTTGTAAATAAATAAGTGTTCTTCATAAATTTAGGCCGAGATGTATTCTGCTACATGTCTTTGGTGAAAATAACCCAAATTAGGATGTATTTTTTAGTTTGTAGGAAAGTTATAGAGTTCACAAACTATGGTATAGATCTGAATATTGATCAATCCTGAAGTACTGACAGCCAATCTAATTTCTTGAGGTCCAAGAATGTCAGAACAGTACAGATATCCCACAAATGACCCCTTTTTGCAGAGTAGACAGTCGGATGTACTTCATGTACATCGCGTTTTTTGAAGTTGTATTTTTTTTGTCATAATTTTTTGGAAAATTAAAAAATTAAAAAAATTATTTTCACTATTTTTTTTTTTTTACATACTGTCACCAGTGTGTACAGCGTCATCATATAACTGGCATGGCGGTGAACAGCGACACTGACTGGTGACAGTATGAAAAAAAAAAAAAAAAAATTCTTTTAAGATTTTTTTTTTCAGATTTTACTATGACCAAAGTAGTACAATGTTACCATAGTAACATTGTACTACTTTGGGGAAGTGATCAGTATTTTTTTTTTATTTTTTTTTTTTTTTTACACAATTTGCTTATAGCAAAGAATTACTTTGCTATAAGCAAGCATTTACCAGAATGAAATCGATTCATTCTGGTTTTTTTTTTTTTGTGCTTAGCTGTGATTTGGCCACAGCTAATCACATGACATGTGCATGTGACCTGCTGTGACCATTCACAGCTAGGCACTAGTATACAATGGATGGCATGAATGAAGCCATTCATTGTATACAACTGTCATGTGACCTGCTGTGATTGGTCACAGCAGGTCACATGGCACCGGCAACGGGGGCCGGTACTCAGATCTGTCATCGGCCGTGTCCGAGGTACACGGCCGGTGACAGATCGCGCCGCTGCGCGGCTCTGCAACCGCGTGAACTGCGCATGTGCGGGAGCACGCCAAATGGCGTGCACCCGGAATGGTGAAGCATTTTTGCCACCGCCAAACGGCTATAGGCCGGGCGACTTATGGTTAATAAATATCTATAGACATTATATAAGAGATGACAGGTTCCTTTGATTATGGATTTACAATTGTGTTTTGGAGGGCTTCCCTGCAGTTGTGACCATCATTTGTCATCAGCAGCAGGACGCACTATGGGGGGTGCAATGAGAAATAAGTGAACAGTTGATGCTAGTTAGTAAGAAGGTAAATGTACCACATGTATAGTAAGGGAGAGGCATCCTTACATGGTGTGCAAATAGAAGGAAATGAGAGACCCATGACCTATGGAACACATAAAGAAATGGTCCCAAGGTTCAATGGCAGTTTAAGGCCTGACCAGTAGTGGGTAAGCCTGCTACTGTATGATTCCAAGGCAGGGGTGGACTGACCATTTGGAAACTTGGGCAATGCCCGAGGGCCCGGGGTCAGTAGGGGGCCCCATGAGATGCCCCTGGTAGGTTTTTTTGAGTTTGGGCAATGACACAGGGGTCCCATGATTCCCTATAGCCCGGGGGCCCCATGAGTTGTCAGTCCGCCCCTGTTCCAAGGGTTCCTTCAGATGGATTCTGTGTTGAGGATCAGATGAAGAGACATGCTAACCACCTTAGTTGTCCCAACAGCTGTAGGAGTGCAGCTTGTAACATACCTAATTTCAGCAATGGCTAAATTGTGAACATTGGCCTAACTAAAACGTCCTGAGGCCGCTCCTTGAGGGGGGGGGGTACTGTCAGGAATGGACTCGCCAATAGTGGTGGGACTCACCTGCCTTGTGGGTTGCAGTACCAGGACTGGCCAGCGGGTGCTCTCAGCAATCAGAGGCTCACTCCGGCAATTAGCCACCACCTGGGGCTGATTGCAGGTGGTGTATTTAAGGGATGGCCAGACCTGCAGTCTGTGCCTTGTTGTACTGTTTGCTTGGCCCTGGTTTCCTGATCCTGTTACTTCTGTCATGATACAGGAGATGGTCAGAGACTGCAGACATGGTACAGCACATGGTCAGTGACTGCAGACATGGTACAGCACATGGTCAGTGACTGCAGACATGGTACAGCACATGGTCAGTGACTGCAGACATGGTACAGCACATGGTCAGTGACTGCAGACATGGTACAGCACATGGTCAGTGACTGCAGACATGGTACAGCACATGGTCAGTGACTGCAGACATGGTACAGCACATGGTCAGTGACTGCAGACATGGTACAGGAGATGGCCAAAGACTGCAGACATGGTACAGGAGATGGCCAGAGACTGCAGACATGGTACAGGAGATGGCCAGAGACTGCAGACATGGTACAGGAGATGGTCAGAGACTACAAGCCTACTACAGGAGATGGTCAGAGACTACAAACATGTGTTCTAGCAGTAAGTGGTGTTTTCCCAGTGTGGAAAAATTTCATTCACTGTACTATATGTGAACAGGGCCTTACAAAATATAACAAAGTTACAGAAAGCACAGTTAGGAGGACAGTAAATAGTTAATAAGTATGTGAAGCTGCCAGTGTGACCAGGCTTAATCCTGCAAAGGCAACATAAAAGGAAACAATCAAACAAATCATAGGGCTCACACAGAACTCTATCACAAACAGCTCTATATAGGCAGCTGAAAGCCATCACTAGTGATGTGTGACCACTCACTCAGAATTACAATAATTTACATAAGGTCAATAACACTGGCTTGGGAGGGGTGAAAATTAAATCTGGGGGGCATAGCCCACACCAGCCCCCCAAGATCTGGCCATGCTCATAATAGCTTCTAGGACCATAAAAAAACACTAGTGTGCATGGAGCCTAATAAAGGGAAAATCTTCAATGTGGACACTAGTTCTGGTGATCCTGGTGACACCGTAGGATTCCCTCACTTTGGAGGGAAATTCTCTCACTTTCTGTTTTGGCTATGAGACAGGAAGTGAAGGGAAATCTCCCTTATGGGACACAGATGGCAAAAAAACTGCCATGGGTTATCACCCTCCCTTAGGCTGGCCATACATTATACAATTATCTGCAGATTTTCTGCCCAATTTCCTTTAGATTTACCTTCAACTATGTAGTGCAAGGGCCTGCCTAATTGGATACAACTGAAAGTGTTGTTTAGGTTTGTCCTCCTATTATATGGTTTTTGGTAAATCTAAACCAAAAATCTGCAGATAATTGTATAATGTATGGCCAGCCTTACTCTATTCAAGATGAAAAAGAATTTTGCACTTGACAAACCGTTGCACAAATAAAAAATAAAAACAATTTAACCACCACTTTTTTTATTCTCCGGGATCTCTGTTTTCTGAAAATATATAATATTTGTGAGTTTTAACTAATTTTCAAGCCTCAATTTTTTTAATAAGTGTGCAAAAAAATGCCAAAACGGTTCTGGCAGCAAAATGGTTAAAGAAAGAAAAAAAATTGATGCTTTGTAATTTTGTGTCAGTGTAGGTGTTCCTTATATTAGCCAAGTTCCCTCCTCTCACCTTTATAATAAATACAAAAATAAATGACTTTTCTTAGTGATTGTGCCAATTAGACAGGATTGATGTGAGAGATCTGCTGGTTATCTACTTGCCCTCCAGAGGATTTACCCACCTTCCTGACCAGGTCATTTTTTGCGATGTGGCGCTGTGTTTTTAACGAACAATTGTGCCGTCATGCAATGCTGCACCCAAAGGAAATTTCTGTCCTTTTTTCCTCACAAATAGAGCTTTCTTTCTGTGGTATTTGATTGCCTGTGTGTTTTTATTTTTTGCGCTATAAACAAAAAAAGACTGACAATTTTGAGAAAGAAAAATATTTTTGACTTTTTGCTAATAAACATGTCCAGTAAAAAAAATATTAAAAATCAAATTGTATTCTGCTACGTGTTTGCTAAAATAAATCCCAAGTTAATTTGTTTATGTGAAAGTTATAGCATTTACAACTGGCGGTGTATTTAGTGGAATTTTTTTTTTTTTTTTTTTTACTAGTAATGATGATGATCAGTGACTTATAGCGGGACTATGGCAGACCTTCTGACACTGGATGGGAACTGACAATCCAGTGATCAGTGCTAATAAAAAGCACTGACACTGTACTAATGGCGCTGAGCAGGAAGGTTAACATGTGGGGCAATCAAAGGGTTAACTGTGTGCTGTTTCACCATGTGCGCTGTGTGTGAGTTTACTGATATGCACTGTGTGGCTTTGCAGAGCCATACAAAGCAGTGTGCAGGAGCTGACAGGGGTGAGATCTGTGTTGCTTATACACAGGTCTCTCCTCCGTCAGAGATACTCAGTGATCACAGGGTGCCGGCGAGTAATTACCCGGTGATTGACAGCCGAGGCCGCAAATGACGTATATCTCCTAGATTGTAAGCTCCAAGGAGCAGGGCCCTCCTATCCCTCTTGTATTGAACTGTATTGTTGCTGTATTGTCTCCCTTTATATTGTAAAGCGCTGAGCAAACTGTTGGCGCTATATAAATCCTGTATAATAATAATAATAATAATAATAAGCGTGATTTTGTGCACCTGTGCCACCCTGTAGCTTTATTCCTGTCGCCCACACAAACCAAGGTCTCATGTACACGGACTGTGAGAGGCCTAAAAAAATTGCTGGGTGTAAAAAATCTCCCACTCCCGGAGAGCTGCAAATGGCGCATACAGCTTGCCGCACAAACGAATGGCTGTACTCCTGTAAATGCCAATGCTTTTGCATCTGCGTTTACCTGCGCATTGTGTATTTTCAGAATGCAAAATCTCCATCTAGCATTTTTTCTTGCCTCTCACTGAACGTCTCCATTAGGCCTTGAATAGTTTGGAGAAAAAGTCATAAATGTAAACCATTCACAGAAAGATCTCAGCACTTGGGATATGTGCGATATGGAACCATGTAAGGCGACTTTTGGTCCAGCAGAGGAGGTAGTAGCTGTTTAGCCAGATGTTTGCATAGGGATGACTGTTTCGGTTTGCCGTTACCAGAACAAATCCCAGTGTTTTCACAGTTGTCCTTTGGCTATGATGGAAACTACAATCTGATAACAGATATAGAACAGCTGCTTTTCTGTAATTGAAGACAACTGCACCGCCTTGCTAGTTCTCTGAACCAAAGCAGTGACTGTTCCCCCTCCACACTTAGCGGCTTTCTCCACCCAGCTATGCTCAGTGCTCCCTTCCCCTATGAGTCATACCTCCTTCCAGTAATGCTTGGCATCCCTCCAATTGCTGCTCATGACCCTTATTTCTGCATAACTTTCATTTCTATGTACGCACTGAATGTTCTTAGGTTTGTAGCTACTGTACTTCATACAAAAGCAAACACATCAATCAGATTTAAAAAAAAAAAAAGAACATACTGTATAGTGTATTTTTAGTGAGCACATTTTGAGTTATTATTGCACTGTTGTTTTATTAATTGCCTACCGGGCACTTTCCCACCCTTCCTGTCCAGGCCAATTTTCAGCTTTCAGAGCTGTCGCACTTTGAATGACAATTGCGTGGTCAACATTGTACTCAAACTTATTTTTTTTTTTTTTTTTGAGACAAGCTTTCTTTTGGTGGTATTTAATAACCACTGGGATTTTTATTTTTGCTAAACAAATAAAAAAAAGACAAAAAAATTTGGAAAAAAAAGTTTTTCTTAGTTTCTGGTAAAACGTTTCATAAATTATTTTTCTCCTTTACTGATATGCACTGATAGGCAGCACTGATGAGGTGGCACTGATGGGCAGCATTGATGGGAGGCATTGATGGGAGGCACTGATTGGCATCACTGAGGAGGCACTGATAGCCAGCGCTGAAAGTCAGCACAGATGGGCACTACTGGTCGCACTGATGGGGCTACACTAATCATCAGGGCACTGATGATCTGTGCCCTGATGATCAGTGTAGAAATGCCAATTACCGGCTCTCCTCACGTGTTGTCATTGCTGATAAATGTCATTTTGTGTTTACATGTGATCAGCTGTGATTGGACACATCTGGTCACATGTAAAAGGCGGCTCTGATTGGCTCCCTACTTGGACACATGATCAGCTGTGTCTGAAGGACACAGCAATCACAGATCGCACTCAGGGGTTGCGGTTCTGGGAGGACGTCCATGGAAGCCCTCTTAGAACTAGCCAAACGTGCTGTAGCTGTCTTTTGTCTATAACACGGCTGGGAAGTGCTTAACCATTAGCTGCCCGGCCAATAGCCGTTTGGCGGCCAGAAAAATGCTGTAGATTTCCGGGTGGACGCCATATGGCGTACTCCTGGGCATGCGCAGTTTGCGCGCCTGCAGAGCCGCGCAGCCGCACGATCTATCACCGGCTGTGTACCTCGGACACGGCCGATGACAGATCTGAGTACCGGCCCCCATTGCCGGTACCATGTGACCAATCACAGCAGGTCACATGACAGTTGTATACAATGGATGGCATGAGTGAAGCCATCCATTGTATACTAGTGTCTAGCTGTGAATGGTCACAGCGATCACATGCACATGTCATGCGATTAGCTGTGGCCAAATCACAGCTAAGCACAAAAAAAAAAAAAAAAAAAAAAAAAACCCTGAATGAATCAATGTCTCTACTAAGCACATTTACATTTACCTATGCCCACAAAACCACACCATTACCTGTAGCCATACCCACAAAATCACACCCCTATGTTTACCATGCCCTGAAACAACTAGTTACAGACTTTTAGAATAAGAGACAGACACGAAGGTATAAATACAAAATATAAATATATAAAAATAAAAACCTGACTGAGGGTCTACCTCAACACACTTAATTCTTATATTTTACCAAAAACCATGTAGGACCTGGGAGGCAATTCAGTATCATATTTAAAGAATCTTGTACTTTTGTTTCTGCAATCAACCTGTAAGGAAAAAAAAAAAGAAAGGAGATTCTTGTTTGTGTATTCTTTGGGTAACTCCTTTTTTCCCCACAATAAACTTTTGAAAGTAAAGGGGGTTATTTACTAGAACAGGAGAGTGCAAAATCTGGTGCAGCGCTGCATAGTAACCAATCTGCTTCCAGGTTTTATTGTTAAGGCTTAACTGAACAAGCGGAAGTTAGAAGCTGATTGGCTACCATGTACAGCTGCACCAGATTCTGTGTGCTCTAGTTTTAGTAAATCTCCCTTAACCTCTTCCCGTCCGCCCATTGTACATAGATGGCAGATGGGAAGCAGCGCAGATGCGGGCTGACATTACTGAATGTCAGCTCGCATCGATGGCTCGTGCGTGGCACACAAAGCGCGCACCCCGGAGACCAGTGATCGGTGCGTCGCCCAGACACAACAGATCACATTACTGCTGTGTTCGGGCAATCACATGATGTTTTGCTATGTGACTGCTGTGACCAACCACAGCAGTCACATAGTAAACATTGAAACTGAAAGTAAAGATCACTTTACGTAAAGTAAAGATCAGTGCGAGAGGAGAGAGAAGCGATTCTGCAATGTGTGAGTGTACAGCAGCCTGCCAGGGTACACACACTACAGTGCCAGCCACCCCAGTGCCCCAATTTAGTGTCCCTAAACACTGCACCACAATGCCCATATTAAATAATACAGGGAGGCCCCTATTACCTGTCTCAGTGCACACAAAACACCCCCATAAACATACAAATGTCCTGATCACCGCCATACCCAAAATCAACACCTTGATCACCGCTGTATGCCATACCAGCACCCTGATCACCGCCATACCCCAATACCAGCATCCTGATCACCGCCATACCCCAATACCAGCATAGTGATCACCGCCATACCCCAATACCAGCATAGTGATCACCGCCATACCCCAATACCAGCATCCTGATCACCGCCATAGCCCAATACCAGCATCGTGATCACCGCCATAGCCCAATACCAGCATTGTGATCACCGCCATACCAGCATAGTGATTACCCCATATGCTATATACAGTGTCCTGATCACCCCCATACCCCATATCAGCATTCTGATCACTGCCATACCCCACACCAGCATCCTGATCACCCCCTTACCCCATAAAAGTGTCCTGATTACTGCCATACCAACATCCTGATCACCGCCATACCTCATGCTAATGTCCTGATCATCACCATACCAGTGTCCTGATCACTGCCATATGCCATACCAGCGTCTGGCAGTTTATGATCTCAACTGATCAATTTTCAAATATATCCCATAGTTTGTAGACTCTATAGCTTTCACACAGACTAAATAATATAAACTGTTTTGGGGTTTTTTTTACCCCACAAATGTAGCAGAATACATTTTGGCCTGAACTTATGATGAAAAATTATCTATTTACTAAATTTTACATCAAAAACTAAGCAAAAAACAATTAAAAAATTTTCAGTATTTTTTAATTTATACTGCAAAAAATAAAAACCCCGGGGGGTGAAATACCACCAAAAGAAAGCTCTGTCTAAAAAAAATAGATAAAAATTTCATATGGGTACCATGTTGCATGATTGAGTAATTGTCACTCAAAGTGTGATAGTGCTGAAAGCTGAAAATTAGCCTGGACTGGAAGGGGGTGAAAATGTCTGGACTTGAAGTGGTATAAGAGTTCCAGTGCAATGTGCAATTAAGGAGCATGTCAAGGAGAATCCCAAATTGGAATCTGAATTGACCACATGTCAATTACTTCATATATCTTCATTTAAATGCTACACTTGAGCTAATTTTTGGAACATCATCAGACAAGACCCAGACATCAGCCTCAATTTGGACCCATGCCCCATAAAGAATGCAATATCTTGCAGGGTTCTATGTGTAGCACTACCCCCTTAGGAGTTGCAATAGATTTGGGTGCTCCTATATTCCTGCACAGCCAGGCAACACTCATTTCCTTCACCCAGACTTGCTTTAGGAGACAGTAACCAGTCCTTGAGCTTTGTTTTGAAATTTTAATATGGGATTTGGAACTTGGATGGGGTGTCCAAGGGAAATGGCAACTGAGGATGAAACTCCTTAGCAACTATGCACAAATCTTTACAGCAAAGTTTCTTTTCTGGAAAGCTATCCTGCATCTCCTGTATAACCACCCCAGATGACTCCTCCCCTCATCTAGCTGTAGTGAGTGAATCCCTGAGCAAGAGATCCAGTGCCTGCCACTGCAGTGTGAAACAGTCCCGGGAAGGTAACAAATCCGGTTTCCCACTAAAGTGCTCCTTTCCCCTTACTGGCCCAGGGGGTGCAGGTTTATTCACTTGGTCCCTCTCCTGTGCTGCTGGCGGCTGCTACCAGGCCTTCTAGCTGGGCCGTTCCTTCCCAAACAGGTGGTCCTTGCTCAGGGGGCCGGTGAAGTCCACGTTTTCCACCAAGGTCCTCTGCCTGCAGAGGAGCACCTCTCCATCTGGGCCTGCCTCACAGGCTCCTGCCTCACATCCTTCTCTCTCCCCTCTTTCACCCAAACTCTTCCTCCAACTCTCTTGCTGCTGAACAGGATCAATCACTTTTAAGGTTTGTCCCGGCCCCTTGCCAAGCCTCCTGTTGGGGATTGGCCAGGCTTCCTTAAAAGTGCAGATCAGCCACTCCTCAGATCCCCCCACCTTCGCCAAAGGTCTAGGGCAGAGGGAAATTCTGACCCCTGCTAAATATTACTCCCTAGCTGCTACTCAGCCCTAGCTAACAATTGGAGTCTAGCTTCCCCTAGCTACCTAGGAGGTTGCTGCATATAGAAAAGGATAATAAATGCAAATGTTTTTCATTCAAATATGGGAGCATTTATTATTTTTTTTCTAAAAAGTGGACCTAGCCTTTAAGAGACCAAAATGGGCCATAAACAAGAAGTTCAAGGTTAGGATTTATGTACCCTCTCTGCACCCTGTCTGTTCATGACAAGCAGCATTTCAAGCACCACACACCAGCAGGGCTTGCTGCAGCCACTAACACTGAGCATCATTTTAAAATTGCACAAATAAGTGCAGTCTCAATTCTGTCTTAAAATTACACCCAGACACAAGTGATTAATCAGTAAGATGACCTCTGGGATCCATCAGTAAGCATCTGAGCTGCTTTCCAGCTGCAGGGACTGTGGCCTTCAAGCCCTTGTGAGAGCAGCATACCTGTCCTTGCATGGGTGAAGCTGCTTTGCTGTGCAGTATCAGAATATCCTCTGTCCCTCCTGCTGATGATCAGCGAACCGTGCTGCGGGCACCAATCCAGACTGCTGTGTTCTCATCCAACTGACCTACTACATACAACTTTCCAGTGGTTGCTGTACAGACCCTGCATCGCTTCCTGTGTGTGCCAATGACTTTCAGGATCTGGTGAGAGGGTTCAAGTCCAAAATGCCCTTACCTTCAGTACCACTCAGCACATGGACACTGCATGCAGACATCATAGTCTGGATTACAAAGGACTTTTCTACTTTTGCTATACCCACTACTGGTTGCTGACTGCTTAATTCCCCCCCCTTTTGAGGATTTCACTTTAATATCACTGAGCTCCAACATGCTGGCAAGGACTGTGTTCAGGCCTGACACTTGGACTACCCTGATCTCATTATCTACAGGGTGTGAGCTAGCCCTGAATAGTGTTTAACCCTTCCTTCACAGGAGTAGGTTCCTTGCAGTCAAGTCTCTCTCTAGTCATAGCCCCCCACCAGTGAGTCCTCTGGGCATATTCAGGTTTTATTGCTTTTCTGATAATACCTAACTTCCTAGTGTCCCACTGGACCAGCCTTGGGGCATGGATGACTGACCCTTTTAAATCTATTGTTTGTCTTTGTCAATACAGACATTTGTTGTTTTCAGCTTGCATTGTGTCTGTGGTTCATTTAAAGGGGTATACATCATGTCAGAACCTAGCTGTGTCAGAAGGGCTGGGAAGTTCCCAGGGTCAGTGCAGCACAAGAGGACAAACAATATCCAGTGGCCCTTATGGGGTTATCACTACACACAATTTTACAGGGTCCTCTCCTGTGCTGAAACTACTTATTCTGATTTCACTGCACACTGTGAACTTACCACAGTGTTCATTATAAGCTGCAGCAAGTCAAACAGAGCCCAACTCATTTGCTGGATAGAGAATGCTCAGTATCATAGAACTTTCCTCCCCAGCCTTACTGTCTCAGCCCTGTCAGTTTCATTAATTGTCATACCTCCCAACTGGCCCGGATCCCGCGGGACCTTCCTGTAACTTCAAGCAAGTCCCATAGGTCTGTGCTGTATCCCAGAGTAGAAGGCCCCTCCGCTAACCTAATTTGCATGCAGGCGGCAGGGAGAGATGTCAGTTATTGCAGTAGATGCTGGCATAGAATCGCTGTGTCGAGGAATCTTTGCACCTCGCAGGAGATACAGGGGAGGTTCTGGGCCAAGACAAGCGGGGCGGTGGGGTGCTCCATGCAAGTAACATATACATTATTAAGTGCCCTTGTAGTAGCAACTTTGGGAATACCAGGTAAAACTCTGGACATGAACTTGAGGAAAACCAAACCTTTTATTAATCAGCACTGAGTGACCTAACAATGAGTCGTGTCTGCAAGCTAAGTGCCTTGAAAAGCATCTCACAGGGTATACATATCAGTAATTTTGTCACAATGCATATATTTCCTCTTTCACTTTCTGCATATTCAAAAGACTTTCTAAACAGTGCAGAATATGGCCTTGCTAGATAATTTATCTTCAGCTAAAAATAAAAGTACCAGCTACAGACTGGAACACATTATTTCACAGGAAATAAGGGAGGGGGGAAGTGAGCTGATAACTTTGCTTTTAAAACCGATGCCATTAGAAATGTTAAAACTTCAGGGGAACTTGGACTGCTGTCTGTCTTCCAGCAAAGATTACTCACAGTAACAGTGCTCCATCAGGCAGCTAGCTAGTGTGATCACCTTGACCAGCACCACCCACAGCCTTGTGGATGCTGCACATACAGAAGGGTCCTGCCCTGAAGCTCTAGTGAGCACAGAGGAAAACAGGGCAAGGAGGGGATCAGAGGAGGGAGTGGGATGCAGAGGTTCTCACAGAGAGTGGGGTGAAAAGGTGAACAAAGAGGGGATTTGGGATGTGGAGGTGAGCAGAGATGGGGTTTGAGGTACAGAGATGAGAAGAGGAAGGTGGCTGCAGAGGTAAACAGGTTGGGGTTCCAAGGTTGAGCAGGGCAGAACTGGGGTGCAGAGTGCATGAGGTGCAACAGTGAGCAAGGAGGGGAACGGCTTAGGAAAAAAAGAGGAGTTGGGGTGCAAAGGTTAAAAGAGAGGGGGTAGGATGCAGACATAAGCAGAAAAGGTGGTTGGGATGCAAAGGTGAGTGTAGAGGTAAGCAGAGAGGGGGTTTTGGGGTGCAACAATCATTAGAGAGGAGGTTTGGGGAACAGAGTTTAACAGAGGGCTAGGGGTTTGGGGTGCAGAGTTTAGCAGCAGGCTAAGGGTTTGGGGTGCAGAGTTTAGCAGCAGGCTAGGGGTTTGGGGTGCAGAGTTTAGCAGAGAAGGGAGTTTTGGATGTAAAGTCAAGCAGACGGAGCTGCAGAGGCAAGCAGAGAAGGTGTTTGGGGAACAGAGGTTGGCAGAGGGGGTGCGATTGTGGTGCATAGGTTAGTGGGGTGTAGGGGATGGAAGTGCAACTGTAAGCAGAAAGCGGGGTTGGGGTGCAACTTTCCCCCAGAAATCTCACCCCCAAAGGGAGCACAGGAAGGAGGGCAGTGTATACAGACATGAGGCAGTGTGTACAGAGAAGGGTGGTAATATAAAAAGGGAGTGGGATCAGTCATTAAGCTATGCCCAATATTTATCATTTAACCACACTCACTTTTGCCACAGCTCCCCATGCATGCACCGCAGGTTGCTGTCTTCCTAATTTGTCCCTCATTCTCAAGTCCTAAAGTTGGGAGGTATGTTCATTGTATTTCAGTTCTTTAAAACATGGAAACTCGGAACCATGTGTGGGCATTACCTGTGCTGGTCTGCTTGTAAATACACTCCCACATCCCTAAACTGATCCACCTGTCAAAGCATTGTGATGTCCTTCCAAAGGCCAGACCACTGTTTGGATCAGGGCTGAGATCTCTTGAGAGGAGTCTTGGGGTAGAATGCTGTGATGTTTTCAGGAAGCTATGAACAGCACTCTGCTAGCTCCCCCCACCAGCAATCCTTAGCTTGCAAGGCATTGAAAAGCACAGAGAGTTAGTGATG